CCTTCCCTCCCTCCTTCCACTCCGCGTGTGATTGCTCAGGGAGAGACCGGGGAGGGGAGAGGAGGGTCGCCAGAAGTTGCTGGAAGCGCTTGGATCCCGATCGTTTTCACTGAGTGCGTTGTAGAATCAGGAGTCCGACTTCCTGCCTTTACAGATGGGAAACTGGGCTCAGAGAGGTGGAGTGACCATCCCCCGAGAGTTAGCTAGGAGTCACAGCAGGGCCAGGGCTGTGACTAGGCCTGAGCTCTCATCCACCCTTAGAACCCTAGAACCTGGGAGTCCAGGCCCCTGCGTAGCCCCTTCTTTCCGCCGCCTACGTTTTAACCCCAGGTCTGCCAGGGCTGTGATGTCCTGGGCGAGGGTGCCCAACTCCAGGGGCTGGGCTGATGAGGCAGGAATGCCGGCTATAATTATTACCTGCTTGTTACCACTATCATGGCTGTTAGGGCTTAATGGGCCACTATTAAGACTGGCTGGGAAGGGGGTGTGAGGGAGGAGAGATGGACCCACCCCACCAATACTCACAAGGGATCCTTAGGACTTCTGGATCTGACCTACAGCCTCTGCATGCACCCCTCCAGCTCCCCACCTCTGTCTGGATGGAGCTCACACCCTCCTTTCCCTGACCTTCCCCTCCCTCTCTCTGATCCTTGGCCTCCCAGTTGCAGGACTAATCCTACCTCTGGGCCTTTGCACGTGCTATGCCCTCTGCGTGGTACTCCCTTCCCCCAGGGCAAAGACTTCAGGAAGTGCCCCACCCCCAGACTTTATTCCTTTATTGTAGACTCTGAATCTACCAGAATGATGGAGTGGACCATAGACCCTTAAGGTCAGGGACATTGCCTATGCTGAGCCTGCTGACACAGCCTAATATAGAATGGATACTCGGTATTAAAGGTGAATGCCGGGCTGGGTGTGGTGGCTCATGCGTGTAATCCCAGCACCTTGGGAGGCCGAGGCAGGCAGCTCACTTGAGGTCAGGAGTTCAAGACCAGCCTGGCCGAAATGGTGAAACCCCATCTGTACCAAAAATACAAAAATTAACCGGGTGTGGTGGTGTGCACCTGTAATCCCAGCTACTCAGGAGGCTGAGACATGAGAATCGCTTGATCCCTGGAGGCAGAGGTTGCAGTGAGCTGAGATTGTGCCACTGCACTCCAGCCTGGGAGACAGAGTGAGACTCCAGTCTCAAAAAATAAAAATAAAAAAGGCGAATGCAACAAAAGGTTGCTTGTGTGGGTGGCCTCTAGCCTCAGTTTGTCTGCCTGGCCAGTGGGCATTCGTTACTCCTTTTCTACTGTCCTTACTCACCTGGCTCTGCCTCCAGCTGGGCCCTGGGGCATGAAGGCCATAGGGGAGGCTGTCCTCATCGCCAAGAGAGGTGGCCTGTTGGTCGCGCGGTGGCTCTTGCCTGTAATCCCAGCACTTTGGAAGGCTGAAGCAGGCATCTGAGGTCAGGAGTTTGAGACCAGCCTGACTAACATGGTGAAACCCTGTCTCTATTGAAAATGAATTAGGCTGGGCGCGGTGGCTCACGCCTGTAATCCCAGCACTTTGGGAGGCCGAGGCAGGCGGATCACGTGGTCAGGAGATCCAGACCATCCTGGTTAACACGGTGAAACCCCGTCTCTACTGAAAAATACAAAAAAAAAAAAAATTAGCCGGGTGTGGTGGTGGGCACCTGTAGTCCCAGCTACTCGGGAGGCTGAGGCAGGAGAATGGCATGAACCTGGGAGGCGGAGCTTGCAGTGATCCGAGATTGTGCCACTGCACTCCAGCCTGGGCAACACAGCAAGACTCTGTCTCAAATAAAAGAAAGAAAAAAAAAAATTAGCCAGGCGTAGTGGTAGGTGCCTGTAATCCCAGCTACTCAGGAGGCTAAGGCAGGAGAATCACTTGAACCTGGGAGGCAGAGGTTGCAGTGAGCTGAGATTGCACCATTGCACTCCAGCCTGGGCAACAGAGTGAGACTGCATCTCAAAAAAAAAAAAAGAAAAGAAAAAAAATAATAGGCTGGGCGAGGTGGCTCACACCTGTAATCAGCACTTTGGGAGGCTGAGGCGGGCAAATCATCTGAGGTCAGGAGTTCAAGACTAGCCTGGCCAATATGGCAAAACCCTGTCTCTACTAAAAATACAAAAGTTAGCCAGGCGTGGGGAGCGCACCTGTAATCCCAGCTGCTCTGGAGAAAGTCAGGAGAATCACTTGAACCCAGGAGATGGAGGTTGCAGTGAGCTGAAATCATGCCACTGCACTCCAGCCTGGCCAACAGAGCAAGACTCTGTCTCAAAATAATAATAATAATAAAAAAGACCTGGCCGGGCATGGTGGCTCACTCCTGTAATCCCAGCACTTTGGGAGGCCAAGGCGGTGGATCACGAGGTCAGGAGATCAAGACCATCCTATCCAACATGGTGAAACCCCATCTCTACTAAAAATACAAAAATTAGCTGGGCATGGCGGCACACACCTTTAGTCCCTACTGCTGGGGAGGCTGAGGCAGGGGAGTTGCTTGAACCTGGGATATGGAGGCTGCAGTGAGCCAAGATTGTGCTACTGCACTCCAGCCTGGGCAACAGAGTGAGAATCCGTCTCAATAATAATAATAATAATAGGCTGGGCGGGGTGGCTCACGCCTGTAATCTCAGCACTTGGGGAGGCCAAGGCAGGCGGATCACCTGAGTTAGGGAGTTCAAGACCAGCCTGACCAACATGGAGAAACCCCATCTCTACTAAAAATACAAAATTAGCCAGGCATGGTGGCGCATGCCTGTAATCCCAGCTACTTGGGAGGCTGAGGCAGGAGAATCGCTTGAACCCAGGATCTGGAGGTTTCGATGAGCCGAGACTGCGCCATTGCACTCCAGCCTGGGCAACAAGAGCGAAACTCTGCCTAAATAATAATAATAATAAAGACCTGGCCTGGCAGGCCTGGGATCCGAATTGCCAGGGCAGGGAACTGGGGCTGTGGGTTTGTTTTGTCTCTAGATGGGTTAGGAAGGTGTCTGTCTGCCTATTGGAGTGTATGTCTGTGTGTGCACCTCAGGGAACTGGGGCTGTGGGTTTGTTTTGTCTCTAGATAGGTTAGGAAGGTGTCTGTCTGCCTATTGGAGTGTATGTCTGTGTGTGCACCTGTGTGTGTCCATATTTGTGTTGTATGGACAGACACAGGTACACACACATAGATACATACTCAGATCCGTGGGTCTCTGTGCTCTCTGGCCCAGGTTCTACCCTGGACAAAGAGATTCCTAGTGGGACAAGATCCAGCCCCCAGACCTGTAGCCAGCCCTTCCCTGGGAACCCGTCTCTGGGCCCCGTGCAGTGGGGCCAGAGTGGAGGAGATGGGCTTATGCCTCTCCCTGAGGCAGGAGGGTGAGTGGGCAGCCTACAGAGGCCCTGCCCTGACCTTGGGCCTCAGCCTTGGCAGCTGGGGGGATGATCTGGTTAATTGTGGGCTGAGACAGCCTGAGCTGAGTGGAGATGCAGAGGCCTGTTACCTCTTGGAGCCTGTTTTCCTTCATGAAAATTGAGCAAATAAGCCTACCTACTTTGTGGAGTATTGCGATTTTTATTGGATTTGAAGAAATAGTAAGGGGTCAGGCCAGGTGCAGTGGCTCACGCCTGTAATCTTAGCACTTTGGGAGGCTGAGGCGGACAGATCACGAGGTCAGGAGTTCGAGACCAGCCTGGCCAACATAGTGAAACCCTGTCTCTACTAAAAATACAAAAATTAGCTGAGCACGGTGGCGCGCGCCTGTAGTCCCAGCTACTCGGGAGGCTGAGGCAGGAGAATCACTTGAACCCAGTAGTAGGAGGTTGCGGTGAGTTGAGATCGCGCCACTGCACTCCAGCCTGGGCAACAGAGTGAGACTCCATCTCAAAAAAAAAAAAAAGAAAGAAAGAAAGAAAAAAATAGTAAGGGGTCAATAAATGCTTTCTATGCTTGTATTATTTGGCCGAACGTAACTTCAGTTCTTTGGTTTTGAGTTCTCTCATCTTGGAATACCCTTACACTCTTGGCGAACTCCTATTCATCCTTCAAAACCCACCACCAGTGCCCCCTTCTCCAAGAAACCCTTCCTGACCATGTCCCCTAGGACTGCCATCGATCCTCTCCATCTGGCTAAGACCTGTCTGTCCCCCATCTGTGTCTTGTTCTGTCTCCTCCATAGAAGGGGATGGAGAGGTCTTCAGGGCAGGATGGGGAAGGCCTCTTCTGGCCCCTAAGTGTGTGAAGCTGCCTTTGCCACCCCCAAGGGCTCCTTTTTTCTTTCTTTTTTTTTTTGAGATGGAGTCTCACTCTGTCGCCCAGGCTGGAGTGCAGTGGTTTGATCTTGGCTCACTGCAACCTCTCCCTCCCGGGTTCAAGCAATTTTCCTGCCTCAGCCTCCCTAAGTAGCTGGGATTACAGGCAGACGCCAACACACCCGGCTAATTTTTTTGTATTTTTTGGTAGAGACAGGGTTTCACGATGTTGGTCAGGCTGGTCTTGAATGCCTGACCTCATGATCCGCCTGCCTCAGCTTCCCGAAGTGCTGGGATTACAGGCTTGAGCCACCGCACCCAGCCCCCTTTTTCTTTTTCTTTACGTTTTCTGTTGCTCCGCCTCAATTCCCTTTCCCACCCTCTCCTTCCTTCTCCCAGCCAGAGAGCTCTCCCGGACACCCCATTCCTGTCCTTCCATTGGTCCCAGCCCTGAACCTACAGCACCTGTTGGTCCAGCTCTGTCCTCCCAGAATGGGAGTTCCTCAGGGGCAGATCTGAAGCCACTTTGGACATATGGGCATGGAGTGTCTAACTCCATCAGCTAGTCCCACGCAATTAACTAGAGAGAACTTTCTTTCATTCACTCCACATACACTGATTGAGCACCTACAGTAAGCCAGGGGAAAGGGCACACATGAATGAGACCAACATCTGCACCTTTGTAGGCCCCCACACCAAGGGAGAGCCAGAGCAGCGCAGTTTTCAGGAGAATCAATGGTGTCCCCGCCATAGATGGTAATGGAGGGGGCTGATATTTTAGAGTCGGGTAATCTGGGAGGGGTGGCCCAGGATGTAACACCAAATGACAGACAAGCTGGACCTAATTGCCAAATACTGGGGGATCAGAGTGTTCCGGTAGTAGGAACAGCCAGTTCAAAGGCCCCAGGACAGGAGCCAGCTGGACACATTTCTAGAAGGTGGGGAGGCAGGTGGGACGGGATTGGGAAGCCAGTGAGTGCCAAAGGAAGAGAAGGGGAGTGCCGAGGCCTCCACCTCTGCTCCGGAGGGATTTGTCTCCAAGGCAGTGAAAGTTGCAGATGAGGTTGGGGCAACAATAGGGCTTGGTCCCGGACTCTGCATTTTCACCTTTATCCCAGCAGCAGCTCCACCAGTGGCGAGGGACGTTATCCCACTTCTCAGGACAGTGTCTGGAGGGGGCAGGTGACGTGCCCAGAGTCGTACAGGCCAGGCCAGAGAGAACCCTGCGCTCCAAACAGAAACGGAACTTGACGCTGCGCTGCCACCGGGGTTTGAATCGCTGCGGCTGTAGTCCTTCCACAGCGCAAAGAGATTTCTTGTTTATAGCAACCTGCAGGCCGGGCACAGTGGCTCACGCCAGTAATCCCAGCACATTGGGAGGCCGAGGCGGGAGGGTCGCTTGAGCCCAGGAGTTTGAGACCAGCCTGAGCAATCTAGCGAGACCTCTTCTCTACAAAAATAAAAAAGTTAGCTGGGCATGGTGGTACATGCCTGTGGTCCCAGCTACTTGGGAGGGTGAGGTGGGAGGATCACTTGGGCCCGGGTAAGTTGAGGCTGCAGTTTAATTTTTAGTCTTAGTTGAACACCCAGAAACCAAAAATCACCTTGATAAATCGGAAAGCCCCAAAGAAAAACGAGTTAAGCAGGCAACCGCAGGGATGAGGTGGAGCCAGGCACTCAAGACCCCACAGCGGGGAGGTGGGGCTTGTGAGGATTCTAAACCGGCGCTTAGGACCCTTAGGCTGGTAGGGGCGGGGCTTGCAGGGAAAGTGCCCCGACGGGGACCCCCGGAGGGCGGTCGGGGGCCGGGCGCCAGACTCGGGCTGGGGGCGCTGTCTGGCCCAAACATTCCTGAGGATCAAGTTACCCGAGAAGGCTGAGGCCTCTCTGTTCCCCTCCTGCCAGGCTTCCGCCCTCTCCAGGAGCAGGAAACACGGTCTGTCCCCAGTCCAGCGCAGGTGTCTGCCCAGCCTCTCGGAGGGGACCCAGGCCCTGCCCTCTGGACTGGCACCGGATCCATCCTGCCTCACAAAACCATTTTACAGATGAGGAAACTGAGGCACAGTCAGCCTCCCTTCAGCATTGATGGAACCAGATTGAACCTGGCTCTGCCAGCTTTATGACCATTTTTACTAACTGGGCAGGCCTAGAAGAATGGTTCAGTCAAGTGTTTGCTGATTGACCATCTAGAATCAGTCTCCAAAGCCTCTTATAGCACAAGGAGAAAAGAACTTCCCATACCACTTACCCTCCTACTCCACCCTAGGACAGGCAGGACCCCTGTACTTATCCAGCATGCATTTAATGTGCACTTCCTGTATGCCTAGGCCTGGGTTAGGCCATTTCACAGGTAGATATTGGAAAACCAGAGGGTTTGGGAATCAGAGGGTGGTGAATTTGCTTTCTTTAGCCCAACTTCAGAAATTGGTTTGGGCCAGGCAAAGTGGCTTATCCCTGTAATCTTAGCACTTTGGGAGGCTGAGGCAGGAGGATTGCTTGAAGCCAAGCATTCAAGACCAACCTGGTCAACGTAACAATACCCCTGTCTCTTAAAAAAAAAAAAAAAAAAAGAGGCCGGACGCGGTAGCTCATGCCTGTAATCCCACCACTTTGGGAGGCCGGGGCAGGTGGATCACAAGGTCAGGAGATCGAGACCATCCTGGCTAACATGATGAAAACCCGTCTCTACTAAAAATACAAAAAAAAAAAAAAAAAATTAGCCAGGCGTGGTGGCGGGCACCTGTAGTCCCAGCTACTCGGGAGGCTGAGGCAAGAGAATGGTGTGAACCCGGGAGGCAGAGCTTGCAGTGAGCCGAGATCGCGCCTCTGCACTCCAGCCTGGGCGACAGATCGAGATTCTGTCTCAAAAAAAAAAAAGATAAATTGGTTTGTAGTCTGAGCAGGGTGGCTCATGCTTGTAATCCCAGCCCTTTGGGTTTCAGATGGATCTCATGAGCCCAGAAGTTCAAGAGCAGCCTGGGCAACATAGCAAGAACCCATCTCTACAAACAGATATAAAAATTAGCTGGTTGGGAGGCCAAGGCGGGTGGATCACAAGGTGAGGAGATCAAGAGCAGCCTGGCCAACATGGTGAAACCCCATCTCTACTAAAAATACAAAAATTAGCTGGGTGTGGTGGTGCGTGCCTGTAATCCTAGCTACTCGGGAGGCCAAGGCAGGAGAATCACTTGAACCTGGGAGGCAGAGGTTGCAGTAAGGTTAGATCGCGCCACTGCACTCCAGCCTGGGCAACACAGTGAGACCCTGTCTCAAAAAAAAAAAAAAAAGTTGGTTTGGTTTTTTGTCTCTTTCTTGGTTGTTTTGGACCAAACTCACATACCATCATTCATCGATTCAACAATGCCTTTTTTTTTTTTTTTTTTGTGGAGACAGTGTTACTCTGTCTCCCAGGCTGGTGTGCAGTGGTGCGTTCTCAGCTCACTGCAACCTCTGCCTCCCGCGTTCAAGCGATTCTTGTGCCTCAGCCACCAGAGTAGCTGGGATTACAGGCACCTGCCACCACACCGACTAATTTTTGTAGTTTTAGTAGAGACGGGGTTTCTCCATGTTGGCCAGGCTGGTCTGGAACTCCTGACCTCAAGTGATCTGCCTGCCTCGACCTCCGAAAGTTCTGGGGCTATAGATGTGAGCCACTGCACCCGGTGACCATGCTCTACTGGGTGCCCGCTGTGTGCTGGGCAGGTGGGGCCTCACCGCCTGGAGGTGATGTTCTGGGGGACTGGAAGCAAGGTCATTACAGAAGCATGCTGCAGGTTGGTCTCACGATTTTCCTTTAAGTTGGCCCCCTTTTCTGTTTTTACTTCAGTAAATATATTTCAAAGGGGAACCTTCATGTCACCACCAAGAATGGAAAACCAGTTTCTCTTGCTATAAATAGAAGGAAACCAAAAAACTATGAAATGAGAGCAAAGTCAGGCATTCCCGCCTCAGGAACATTCAGGGCTGGGGCTGGACCTCGAATGTCTGAGTCTTATCAAAGGCAGGGAAGCCCCAAGCAGAAGGGCAGGAGGGGCCACAGGGACCCACTTGGCGGATGCTCCAGTCCCGTGGGTCCCAGCACACAGTAGGCGCTTGAGGAATGTGTGTTGATTTGTTAACATGGAACCCATTATTGTAGGTGCCCCCGCCCCCCACCATGATGTGTGGGTTTCGCCTGCATCCGACCACATACTCGTGGCTTTTCTAGGTACTGAGCCATTTCCCTGCTGACAGACTGAGGGTAGGGTAGTGCCTGAATGGGGAGGGGTGGGGGAGGTGGCAGGCAGCTGCCTCTTGGGCAGGGGACCCCACGGGGGCCTCTCTGGGGAGGCTTCGTTTTGGTTTGGTGACATGCCAGGATGCAGCTCAGGAAAAACGTTTATTTGCAGCCTTGGGGCTGTCCCCACCCACGGTCCTGTGGGCCCCTGAGTCTGTCCACACTGAGATGTGGGCCCCTGTGGCTCGCCGCCCTCCCAGGCTGTCTGTGGCGTTTGAATCAATGAATGAGTGAATGAGTAAAGGAATGAATGCAGTAAGTAGCATAATGGATGAGTTTGTGAAATAATGAATGGATGAATTAACGAATGAGCATAAGTATTCATGCTGCCAAGATGAGAAACCCATTCTCCAGGCATGCTTTTTTTTTTTTTTTTTTTTTTTTTTTAAGACGGAGTCTTGCTCTATCACCCAGGCTGGAGTGCAATGGCGCCATCTCGGCTCACTGCAGCCTCCACTTCCCGGATTCAAGTGATTCTCCTGCCTCAGCCTCCTGAGTAGCTGGGATTACAGGCATGGGCCACCACGCCCGGCTTATTTTTGTATTTTTGTACAGACGGGATTTCACCATGTTGGCCAGGCTGGTCTGGAACTCCTGACCTCAAGTAATCCGTCCGTCTCGGCCTCCCAAAGTGCTGGGATTACAGGCCTGAGCCATGTAGATATGCTTTGTCCCCTTTTATCGGATGGACAAACTGAGGCTGTCAACCAAGAAAGGCTTCAGTATGTGGAAGGCAGATTCGAAGCCAGTTGGCCCTGCACACCGTGGGCTGCATTTCTGCACGAGGACTGGGGGCTCCCGGAACGAGTTTAGGGGTCCGGACTGGTGCAGAGGGGCGCTAGACCTGGCCCCCAGCCAGCGGAAGGGATCTGGGCCCCTAGCTGGGGAGTAGATGGAACTGGGGGCAAGGCAGGCGGCAGAGGGGGTGGAGAGAAGACGGCTGCCCCAGGCTGCGGGGATGGGAAGACACCGGCAGGGTCCGCGTTGATTCAGAAGGGACCCCAAGGAAGGAGCAACTTTGGGGGAACCCCAAAGTTGTCAGAGTGGTACCAAAGGCCGTGCACATGGGGCCCTTAAGCGCTACACAATGATTATTAGTGGAGAGACCCCCCGCCCGCCTGCTGCACCCGAGGCCGATTCCCTCAACTCCCACGCCTTCCCGCCTCCCGCTGCCCCCGCATCCCCTTCCTCCCGCCACCCCCCCTGCTCCTCGCCTCTAGCTCTCCCGGGGAGGAAGTGGCGAAAATGCGGGGGTGGGCGCCCTATTCTCACTTCCCCTGGGGCAGGGCGGGGCCTGCGGGGTCCTCTCCGCCGCCGGGAGACTGGGCACCCCCCTCCGTACAGGGGTGGGGGCGGGGAGCCCCAGGAGCTGGGCCGGCGCCGTTCAGTCCCTGGCCAGGTGACGTCCAAAAGTTCCCTGGTCTTCGATGGTTCTCAAATGAAAAATGGGGGGAAAGCCACTGAGTTGGAAACAGCCAGTTGCTGGGGAGAGAGGACCCCACCCCGGGCCGGGACTAGCAGCCAGACAGGGACACGCCCTGCCCCGAGGGGTCAGGGCCAGGCCGAAGGGAGGGAAGTCGCAGTAAACACGGGGTTGGGTAGGGGCGGGAGGCGCATTCCAGGCGGTGGGAACGGCGCGGGCAGAGGCCTGGAGGCTGGTCGAGGCCTCCGGCCTCGCCCAGCTGCTGGGTCCTAGGCGTGCGGCCCCTCCCCTAATGGAAGGGGGAGGAAGAATTCAGGGGGAGGGGCGCTGTCCTTAGCAGTGGAAGAGTTAATTTCCCGGGGCTGCCGGACCCCGCCGCGAGCTGGCGGGTGGCGTCAGCGCCGACGTCAGGGCTATTTGGTGCTGCGTAGACGCGGAGGCTTCGGCCGCCCGGCCCCCACCCCACGCGGCGCTGGAGGCCGCGGGGATGGGGGCGGGGGCGGCCGGCCCTGCAAGCAGTTTACTGGGAGCTGTGCAGAGAGGGAAATTGAGGCACGGGAACGGGCGTGGCCTGGCTGGTGCTAAGCCCGCCAGCGTGCGTCCCACACTGCCGCCCCCTCCCGGCTCCTCCTGGTCGCCCGACGACCTGGTGCTGGTTTGGGCTTGTTTTCCATTGCGCAAATACCTGCGAATAAACGTTTGCCCCGAGCTGCGACCTGGCACATCACCACCTCTGCATGGCCTCAGTTTCCTCAACCGGATAATGGGGAGAGTTGACATTTAGTGTGGGCGCTGGGCTCCGCCTTGAAAAGGGGGTGTGGGAGGGGACTCCACCCCAAGAAACAGGCTGGCGCGGGGGCACCTGCGAGGCGGGCTGTGATTCCTGGGCTGGTTCCCCCGCCCGCTCCTCTCCTCCCGTCCTTCAATCCCCTCCTCTCACTTCCCCTCCTTCTTCAGCTTCCCCTCCCCTCTTCCATCTCCTTCTCCTCCCTCCCGTCTCCCCCGATCTCCTCTCCACCCCCTCCCTCCCTTTCCCCCACCCGCCCGGCGAGGCCGCCCCACCGGACTGCTAATTAAATGCAGAGCTGGGGGGAAGGGACGGCGCGTGCTTAACTCCTTCCCCGCCGGGGCCTTGAACCGGGGATGGGGAAGGGTGTCCGCCACCGGAATTCCCCTTACTCCCAGGGGCAGGCCTTAAGCTCTAGGACAAGCCCATTTGTTGAGTGGGTATATCGAGGCCAAGGGAACGGCCCCAACGTTCTGGGTGAGGCTGTACTAAATCGGGCCTCCTGATGGGAGGGCCAAAGATTGGAGATAGGGGAAGAGAAAAGCAATATCGTGGCTTGGAAATAAACCAAGAGAAAAAAAAAATGAGTTGGAGGGAGGGACTGCGGGAGAGGGAGGAAGGAAAAAAGTCTAGGAGGAAGACAGACAGAGAGACAACCAGGTAAGAAAGGTGGAGCACCGGGTGTGGCCTGGAGGCACCTAGGCAGGCTTCCGGGAGAAGGCGGCTTCGGGGAGGAGCCTGTGGTGGGATAACTCCTGGCCCTGATCTTAGCCTCCAGGCCGGGCTCACCCACTGACTGCTGACTTCTGACAAGGCCCTGTGGCCTGAAAGGAAGGTCATCCCTGCCTTTGGAGCCATCCGTCAACCCAAGTCCCCGCCCTGTCCCTGAAACTTCAGAGAAGGGCCCAGTGAAGTGAGGTGTGGGCCATGTGCTGTGAGGTGACTCAGTGGCCCCTTATTCTTGAGACGGGAACAACTGAAAGGAATGATATAAAGTCAGGTGGTGAGGGCCGGGCGCGGTGGCTCACTGTAATCCCAACACTTTGGGAGGCCGAGGCGGGCA